TTATTCATAAGTTTGAACTTATTGTAATATCTCAGTAATTAACTCTGTAAATTGTAATTATTTCCTGACTTACTGATTATCCTTATTGTGTTATTTTAAGGTAAATTATATCTGTACTGAACCTGAAAGTTGTAATTATTTTCTGAATAAACTTGCTGATTCATATTTAATGTGTTTTTTAAGGTAAATTCTGTCTGTACCTACCTGTAGCTAGTACTTCAGGATCTCACATCTTAAAGTGCTCATGCTATAACACTCATTTAACCAATTTAAAGGAAATAATAAAATTTAAATATTATAGAAATTATATACAAATATGAATGTTAAAATTTGCCCCCCCCCCCTTCAAAGTCCTGGATATGCCAGTGTGTATATATATTAAATAATTCCTGAAAAGAGTGGAAATCCTATTAAAATCTCTAACATTCGAACGTGGTATATAACCATTTCTTAATATATATTTTTGTGTACTGGCACCCACATTAAATATGATACGTTAAAATTAAAACATTTAAATAACAATTTATTTTCTTTTTTTTACAAGTGTAAGAACGTGATACTTTATAAAAACGATTTTAGTATTGATAAATAATATATAATAAAGGTCTCATCGGACAAATAGAATAAAATACGCACTAATGTCATTCTAAAAATTCGTTTCCCCAGGTGAGGCTCGAACTCACAACCCCGGCATAACTCACAAGTACTGTCTTATAAGTACCGTGCGCTAACCAATTGCGCCACTGGGGAATGGAAAATATTGCTACAAAATATCAAACTTGAATAATACAATTTTTATATGTTTTTGTGTACTAAAATTTGTTTTATATGTAATAATAATACTTTAATTATTAAACAATAATAGTCCTAGACCCTTTGAACTCGAACGTCCGATTAATATCAAAACAAGTTTCCACGTTCATTTTATATCATATTATTTACCTAATAATACTTTATTAAAGAACAACACTTCGTAGATAAAGACTGATTTGTATTAACGTAAAAATAAAACTTACAAGTTGAAGCATCACGTTGAAACATTAATATTTTATTAACCCAAAGTTTTCTAGTTCTATGAGTATGAGCACTTCGGAAGGCGGAATTACAAAACTAACGGAAAACAATAACTAAGAAGAAAGAAAAAAAAACGGAAAAATTGTGTGACAAAATCACACGCATCGTTTTGAGTTTAGTTACTGATTGTAATTATTATTTAATAAGTTTTTAAAAAAAGACATCCGAATTTTTTGTGTTGTCACAAATTCGGCGGATGTTTGATGAAAATCCTGGTACGAATGGTATAATCGTTAAGTGTAGCTTTTCAGCTTTGGATATTTATGTAGACTGGTTTTGTTTGCTCCAGTAAGTGGCGATTTGTTTTTGTAATGGTATGATCAAGTGAAACTGATTTCTCCCAAAAGTACGAAGTAATTCTGAATTTCTATGAAACTGGTTATATTGAAAGAAAAAGATTGGGCACAAAGGTAAACACTCAGTGAAAACAATCTTCATTTCTCACAAAACAAGTGTGCCTATTATCACAAAGAATCATCAACTTTACTGAAAATTGATAGTTGGTGATATTTGTAAATCCGTATACCAGTATAAAATCTAAGAAATCTGCGGATGTTCTATTCCAGTCCGAGAAAACAACAATTTATATATTCCAAATGTTACGTATAAAAACCAAACCAAAACTACTAAACACAATACGTAAAAATAATTAATAAAAACAGAGAAGTAAATCCTTTATACAACGTTATACTTAATAAGCACAAGAAAAACGCCCTTCATCAAAGAAAATAACTTAACTAAACCGACAATACAGAACTAACCTTTAACAATGTTAGGGAACATTTCTCCAAGTTACAGCTTTTATATTGTTACGTCTCCGTTCGTTAGTTAATTTTCCGTAAATTCGTTCCGACGAAACTTTAGCGACACAAG